CCTCCCTCAGCCCTTTCCCTGAGGGTCCCAGCCCAGCTCTCCCAGCCTGGCCCCTGTGCAGCTCACAGAGCACATTTAAACCCCTGATAAAATCCGTAGGGCCTGTTTTTCCTCCCTCTGTCCCAGCTGTGATCCCAAGGCCCTGGGCTGGACCCTCCCTGTGCAATTCCGACGGCACAGTTAATTAAGTTAATTAAGGCTCAGCATCGGGAGAATGTCGCCTGCATCACTAACTCTGTTAAATCCATCACCTCCCAGAGGAGCACCTCAGAATTAGTGCTGCACATTTGCCCCAGCAATCAAGGCTGATGACACACCGAAGCACAGCTCCCCGGGCTGGGCTTTTATTTATGGACTGTCACAGCTCCCCCACGAGCTCCAGGACCCCCAGGGCAGGCCCTGCTCCTGTAGGGCTGGGGAACGTCCCAACAGGAGCTGTTACACATCCCTGCAACCAAAACAACTAAACCAGGGAATCAGCCCCAGACTGAGAGGTCAGAGCAGAAATGTGCAGTCTGACTCCTCCCTGCTTTTTTCCAGGACCACCAAACAAGTACTTTCAACCAAGGAACTCATTTAAAGTCAAACCACCACCCGAGCTTTTCCCTCAAAACATTTTGGGGTTTTTTTTTGCAGTTTGGGAGAAAGGTGAAGGCAGTGGCAGGTCTCAGCAGTCAGAAGCTCTGGGCCACCTTTTGAGATGTTTTAGACCACTAGGTTAGGGAAGACAAGAAGACTGGACTCACCTGCCTGGATATACAGCCCTTGTGTGACCACAGGACACCCACACACCTGTATTTACACCTCCTGCTCAGCCCAGAGCCTCACAGCAACAGCTGCTCCCTTCAGCCTCACCTAAATGTGAGCTGATAAAGACATCTCTTTTCCCACTTCCCAGCTTAAGCTCCCCTTCCTCCTCCAGTGGGATCATCACCACAGGCAGGAACTCAGTTTAGCAATACCAGAGAAGCTCAGGCTTTGCTGTGTGCTCTGGAGGCAGCACTGCCTGCAATTCCCTTGCTGTGGTTGGTTCCAGGCGCGTCCCACTCCCGCTTTCCTCCCCACCTCCCTCCTCAGGATGAGATCCACACAGCCAGGACTCCCTGTGCCATCACCCCCCACGCCCCAACATGTCTTTTCCCATATTTGCAGGAATCACCCCGGAGAGATAAACTTCCAACCAGCACAGTGAGGAAAATGCTGCGTCCACATGGACAGGGAGGAGGAGAAAGGAGATCCAAACTAAAAGGGAAACGTGGTGACCTGAGCAAACAAGGGGGCTGTGACTGGACAGGTAACATGAGAGGTGAATTAAATGACTCATCAACAGGCAAATACAGCCTGGGAGCTTCCTAGAGGTGGGATGGGAATCCGTGCTGGAGCCTCCCGATTTGAGAACCCAACCTCAGGCTGTCCCCACACCGAAGAAACAGAAGTGACTGAGGGAGCCACGGTACCTGTGGAACAGTCCATCTGGGCCAGATGGCAGTCACTGTCAGTTCTCAGTTTTTTAGCACTGTTCTCTGAGGTAGAGGAGACAAGTAAGTTTGTAGCAGAAAAATAGGGCGGCTGCAGGGAGCCCTGGTCCAGGCAGTCCATTTTCCTTTTCAGAGAGGACATGGTTACGGAAGAGGGCACGAGGGTCTCCGAGGAGTGAGCCCTCCCCAGCAGGTTGGTGCCAGGGATGCTGTGCTGCAGCAGGAAGTGGTCTATCCTGGCCTTGAGGGTGGGGTGAGGTAGGGGCTGCGAGTGCTGGCTGAAGGCCACCCCGGTGAAGGGGTCGCTGGGGACCCTCCCCCAGGACGCCTCGCTCCGGTTGCACTTTTCCAAGGTGGTCTGGTCGATCACCTTCCCGGAGGGCAGGAGCATGGGCAAAGTCATGATCTCCAGGGTGATGGGGTCCAGGAATTCCTCGGGGATGTCCTGGACGACGTCCACCAGCCGGCGCAGGGCGTGCTGCTCACCGTCGCCGGCACCGAAGGGGACGCAGTCGCTCTCCATCGGCGTCCACAGCTCCGGCTTGAGCCCGCCGGCGTCCTGCGCCAGGAACTGGGAGGCCACCTGGAAGACGCCCTCGATCACCTCCTGCGGGCAGGACTTGGCAGGCTGTGCCCACACCTCCAGCCTCTTGATGCTCGGCAAGCCGCCCCCCGCCACGTGCGTGATGCAGATTTTCAGGTGCGACACGTTGCTGAGCGAGGCGGGGCCTTTGTTCCACAGGTCCTGGGACACGGAGCCGGGGTAGGAGAAGACATTTTCCATCTGATGGAAGGGGGGCCTCGGCTTGAAGCCCCTGTGGCCGAAAGTCACTTTGCTCTGATTCTTTAGGACAGCTTTGCCCACCAGCGTGAAAGTGTCTTTGTCCGACACAGGCTGCCCGGCCAGACCTGAGAAGGGCCCCTCGGGGCTCTGCCAAGAGGTTTTGTGGCTTGAGGTAGAGGTGTAAACTTCGAGCCCAGAGAAGGTTTGGTACCCCCCAGAGGAGATGTCGACGTTAATCCTGCAGATCTCGAT